CCTACATCTAGAGTCAAAGAACCAAGTGTGATTCTTGGAGAAGTTATTGACAGAGCTTCCATAGGCCACGAGTAATACATCTTCCTCATCCTCATACTCATCATAGTTAGAATGTTCTTCGAGATTAGGACAATCATATTGAATTTTTCCTAACCTGTGGCATTTGACATATTCTATGGCACTTCAGTTGAGTCTTATTCCTCGACCTTGAGCATTTAGCACGAAACAATGACCTCTTTGCCTTCATGTCATCCTAGATCCATTAAAGATTGTCAAGACCTGGTCTTACTTCTTGACATGTGTCATCTTTTAAAGATGAACTAAGAGGGAACCTTATAGTTCATCAATGGATAGATCTTCAACGTTGTTTTTTCTTCAATGGCACAAACGACATAGTTAAATTTTGGTGACATAGGCCTAACTGTCTTCTCAGCAACTATGTGTTCCTCCAACATCTCACCATGAATCTTCATATTGTTCACTATTGATAATGCTCTTGTAAAGTAATCATTAACTTATTTGTCTTCTTTCATGCGAAGAATTTCAAATTCTCCCTCACAGAGCTTGTAATTGTGCCCTTTTCACTTTTGTATACCCCTATACTTCTTGGCCATTGAATCCCAAATGGCTTTGGATGAACTCTTATCAAGAATTTTTTTCTTTTATTTTCCTCTCAAATGATTGAAACAAACAATTTTTCGCCTTGAGATCTTTCAATTTACTTTCTTCAACCAACTTATTATATTCTTATGTTGGTGTAGTCGAAAGAATAAGAACATCTTGATCCAAAGTGGTCCAATACTCCTTTGTTTTAATAATATTTTTTTATAAACATGGTCATTACATCTTCAACATTTTTGCTTGCTATTATAATATCATCCACACAGAGCAACAAAATAATAAATGAATTATCAGGTCAAAATCTAAAGTAAACATAGTGGTCGAACTGACTTCTGATGAAACTTATCCATGCCATGAACTTGTCGAATCTCCTATTCCACTGTCGAGGAGATGTTTCAGTCCATATAAAGATCTCTTCAGCTTGCACACATAATCTCCCTTCCCTTTTTCGACATACCCTTCAGGTTGCCTCATAATGATTGTTTCATCTAGATCACCATGCAAGAACGCAGTCTTCACATTCATTTGTTCCAGTTCAAGGTCGAATTGTGCCACTGTGACAAGCAACATTCGAATGGATCTGTGCTTCACTACAGGAGAGAACACATCATTAAAGTCGAAACCTTATTTCTGAGTGAACCCCCTAGCGACTAATCTTGCCTTGTATCTCTTCGATGTCACTCCTTCGATCATTTCCTTAACTTTAAAAATCCATTTACAGTTGACTAACCTGGCTCCAGCAGGTTTCTTGATCACTCATCTCATCATCCATGACCTTCAACCATTCAGTCTTCTTTCGGCTCCTCATAACTTTCTTATAGTCTCTAGGTTTTTCGTCTAGAAGCTCACTTGCAGAGATTAAGGCATAAGCTATAAGATCTTCATACCCAAGTCTCTGAGGTGGCTTGATGACTCTCCTTGACCTGTCTCTTGCTAGCAGGTAGTTATTATCAGTCTCCTCATCTTCGACAACATCTTTTGTGTGTTCTTCAACTTCATCTGGGATACGCACTTCAACATCAACATGCTTTACCTTAATAGGAATCTCTCCCTATTCTAGCTCTTCATCATCATCATCAGTTTTCTTGAAAGTCATATCTGCTTCATTAAAAACTACATCTCGACTGGTGATACACCTCCTATGACCTGGCTTTAGGCACCATAACCTATAAGCTTTGACTCCTTCAAGATATCCCATGAACATGCATTTCAGCGCTTTAGGTTTGACCTTGTCTTGCCTAGTATAAGCATAGGCCACACAACCAAATACTCTCAATCTGTCGAGACTAGGTGGATGTCCCGACCAAACTTCTTCAGGTGTCTTCATTCCCAAGGCAGTCGAGGGACATCTATTTATCAGATAAGCTGCTGTTGAAACAACCTCCGCCCAGAACACATTCTTCAATCCAGCACTAACCAACATACATCTAACCCTTTCAAGGATTGTTCAATTGAATATCTCAACTAAGATATTATATAGGAGTATATGCTACAGTCTTATGCCTTGCAATCCCAGATTCAACACAGTAACTGTCAAACGCTTTGTTGCAGAATTCAAGGCTATTGTCGGTTCTCAACCTCTTAACCTTTATGCCAGTTTAAGTTTTGACTAGAACCTTCCAACTTTTGAAATTCTCAAAAGTTTCATCCTTCGTCTTCTGAATGAATACCCATAGCTTTCTAGAATAGTCATTAACGATGGATAGAAAATACCTTGCATCTGAGTGTGAAGGATTCCTTACAGGCCCCCAAAGATCAGCATGAATGTAATCTAGGGATCCATGTCTTCTTTGCTTGCCTTTGTTAAACTTCACCCTACAGGATTGGCCAAATACACAAGATTCACAAAACTCCAACTTTTCGACTTTGTCACCTCCTAGTAAGTTCTGCTTCCCCAATTCGACTAGACCTATTTCCCTGACATGGCCCAATCTCATGTGCCATAATTCTGTCTTCGACACAGGTTTCGTGGATGCAACTTGTCGAACCACTTACAACCTCAGTCTCAGGGGTATACAAGTGTTGTTTGTTCACGCCTCTCAAGACTTCCTTCGACCCCTTCATAACTCTTAGGATACTTTTCTCTCCTTGAAAAACATATCCCTTTCTGTCGAATTCACCAAGAGAAATCAAATTTCTCTTCAAATCAGGTACATACCTGACTTCAGTCAATAACCTTATTGATTCATCATGGAGGTTGAATCTCACAGATCCAATACCTGCAACTTTGCAAGATTTGTTGTTTCCCAACAGCACCGGTCCATCATCTTGATCACATAACTCCTCGAACAATTCTCTGTTTGAAGTCATGTGTCAAGTGCAACCTAAATCCATAATCCATTCTTTTCTTGAGTCGCCACTTGAAACCACAAGAACATCAAATGAGTCGAAGTCATCTTGAACAATGGTTGCGTTGCCATTATCCTTACCTCTATGATCTTTCAAGCGTTCAGGATACACCTTTCTTGTGTGACCCTCCTTCTTACAGTGATAACATCGAATACCAAATGTTTCGTCATTATAAGATTTTTGTTGACTTTTACCTTTCTTCTTGTCGAACTTACCATCCTTTTGCAAGAATTTTCCCTTAACGGTCAAACCTTCGCCCACCGTCGAAGGTTTATGCTCCTTTCGCTTGTTCAAGTCCTTAGAATACAAGGCTGATTGAACTTCTTCAAAGCTCAGGGGCTCCCTTCAATACAAGAGAGTTTCTTTGAAGTGAGCATGTGTTCTTGGAAAAGCACAAAACAACAACAATCGTGCTTGATCTTCATCATCGATCTTCGTATCAATATTTTCAAGATCAAGAAACAACTTTTTGAACATATCCAACTGTTCATCCAACACTTTGTCTTCACTCATTTTGAATGAATACAAAGTTTGCTTCAGGTAGAGTCGATTCACCAGAGATTTGGTCATGTACAAACTTTCAAGTTTCACCCATAATCCTGATGCTGTAGTCTCCTTTGATACATGTCGAAGAATCTTATCACCAAGGCTCAATAATATTGCGATGTGGGCTTTCTCAATCATGCCCATCTTTTCTTTTGTCGTTAACACAGCGTCCATGACTGCCTCTCCCTTCAACGCTTCCAAACAACTCTGCTGAATCAGTAGGACTTTCATCTTCAAGCGCCACAGACTGAAATCTTTCACTCCGCTGAACTTTTCAATCTCATACTTTGTTGAAGTCATCTTCTCCACGCTCACCGCACCAATTTGTTGTGAATCAGATGCCTTTAAACAAAATATAAACGGTTTTTTTATGATCAAGAAACACACAAGGGTTAGGGTTAACAAAGAAAACAAGGTAAAACAACAATGAACAACAAGAATTGGTTATAATCTGTTATTCTTTCCTTTCTCTTAAAACAAGATTACAAGTATACAAGAATAACAAAATAACCTCTCTCACTTGAAATTAGGATTTTATCTTCCTATTTTTCCTTATGCAAAGATGAGAGACTAACATGCTATTTATAAGAAAATTAACACACTAACATAATGAGTTTTTTAACAATTACTCATTACAAGCTAACTTAAACAATTGGGTTTACAAGTAAGGCCCAATTCAATATGCTAACGAACCTAACAATATTGACCAATACATGTTAGAATAAACTTCGACTACAATACGCATTAATCCAACAACAGCATGTGAGCAGACTTCGACCTCATGCTTAATCTTTGTCGAATCAGAAGTTACTCTTCGATCATATTAGAGTTCGATCCAATATCTCACAAGAAATAATTTAGAATTTGTAAGATTTCTAAGGTAGTTAGTTCTAATTTTTCATGTTTTTTATTTGTTATTTGTAAAAAATGTGTTACTTTTGTTAGAGTTGCTGAAAATCAATTAAGCTTGTTATAACTGATTTTTAGTTGAAAAGTCTATTGGTATGTAAGTCATGTATAAGTGTCTTTCACCCCTAAAATAAAATTAAAAGTTAGAATGCATAATTTCTTATTCTAACACTTGTTGGTCTAATCTTCCCAAGAATACATGAAAGAAGATAAATATAGGGACCATTTTATTTAAAATGCAATATCAGATACATAAGTATAAATCACATTTTCTTATATAACTTGGGTGGTGTCATTCTCATATTGCAAGTTTTTTTCAGATGCAAAATGGAATTAAATTAATAGCTAAAATTGTTTCTTGATATTTAATATAAATTCCGTTCACAAAAATTGAATATTGATAAATTTAGCAGAAGCAATCTTAGACTTTCATATACATTGAATATTGATTGTCAAAAACATACAACATCTATTTAAATATACTTACACATTCATGAGACAAATCAATAAAATTGATTAATATTACTATTAACAAATCCACACCCTAAAGAATAATTAAAAACGCAATTAATTAATCATGCAGTTCTAAGCAACATCATGTTCTTGAATTCCTGAAAATCAAGCCTACCATCCAAATTGGTGTCATAGAATTGAATCATGCTTCTACAATCTTTGCCACTTTTTTCATCCAAGAATCCAAGTTTCTTCAACACACACTCAAGTTCTTGGCTTGTGATGAATCCATCACCATCCAAATCAAACACTTTAAAAGTCTTCACAAGATCCCTCTCCAACAACTCATCATCATTGTTCGGTTTCGAAATAGAGTTGTAAAAGAACAAGAATTCATTGAAGTCTAAGCTCTTCTTTTCTATAAGAGATTCAAGCTCGTCTAAGCTAAATTGAGAATTATTACTATTACATATTCTCTGCAGCACAAAGTTGATCTCTTCAACGCTCACAAAACCGTCGCTATTTGTATCTAGCTTCTCGAAAATCCGATGCAAATCAGTGTTAGATAGAACAGACATATTTGCAAATAATGTGTAGTAGTAATTAATGAAAACAATGTTATGAATTAAGGATATAGTGCTATGTGTTTGTTATTCTATAGCCTTATATAGGACAGGCTTGCAATGAAGTTGTTAGATTTTTTCTGTCTATGGAAGAAAAAAATGTTGTGATTGATGACATGATATGTACGAGAATGGTCGTACAAAGTACAGACGATGTAATTTGAAGGAAGTTTCGCATTATGTGATTGAAAGCTTCACTATATTATAAATTCTCAAAATTAAAAATATATAAAAAAAAAAGTGTTTTTCAGATTTCTAAAGTTAGCATATCGAAACTGAAAGTCGTGTAGTTCATTGTTATAAAATTAATTTGTATGAGAAAGATGCTTTTCATTACAAACACTAACACCTTGTATTTTTCTTGTGGTTTTGATGCAGAAAATAGATTTGCCTTAAGAGAATTGTTCTCTAAGCTCCATAAAAAGTAAAATTTGAAAATATATCTTCCAATGTATTTTTTTTTTTTTTTACGTATTTCTAAATGCATAATGGCGATACATTTTTATAGGGATGACAATTTAATTCATTTCTATTAAATACCTATAAAATTACCTATAACAGATAGAGTAAAAACCCACAAAAATAAATACGAGCACAAGTAATTACACATGTAAATAACTGGAGATGAGTGCAGGTATGAACACTTTAGTATTCACCCTGTCTCATACATGCATAATATATATTTATATATTTTAATTTATATTATTATATAAATCTAAATGTTTATAGAATTAAAAAAACATCAATTTTAAACTATTAAATATTTAATATAAATGTTCATTTATTTTATAATTCAACAATAAAATTTTTTAAATTTTTTTTTAATGTTTGTAAAAACTTAAAATATTATGATATTTTATAATTGATATATTTATTTTTATTAAAAATACGAATAACGGGTACAAGTACGGGCATTTATATACCCATAGGTTATAGGGAAGAGTGTCAATGTTGATACACAAGCGGATATGGACTCAGGTACGACGACTTTTTTCAACTGCGAGTATAGGGACGGGTACTATAGTATCATATCCAAACTCTATCCATTGTCATCCCTACATCTCAATATTAATATTAGAATGAGTCTGGAGATGTATCTTCATACGTACCAAAATTACGCTCATCCAACACATAAACCACCCTTTTTTTGTTTAAATTTAGACCGGTTATCCATAGGAGTGTACACGGGTTGGGTTGGACCGGGTTTGACATAACCTGTTACTCAACCCGTTCAAACTTTTATGAGTTGGGTTTGACATCCAACACGCAATTTTATTGTCAAAACCGACTCAAATCAACTCGTTCATTTATGGGTTGGGTTGGATTGTGTTCACGAGTTGTGTTTCAAATTTTATATATATATATATATATATATATATATATATATATATATATATATATATATATATATATATATATATATATATATATATATATATATATATATATATATATATATATATATATATATATATATATATATATATATATATATATATATATATATATATATATATATATATATATATATATATATATATATTATGATTCTTTTTGTCGGTTTAAAAGATGTAACACAACTCAATTCAATCATACTCAATTATAACATTCAAATTCGATGAAACACATCATATAATATCTAATAAAATTCATCAAAACAACATAACACTTAATGATAGTATAAAACTCAATAAGGCAGTTATTTTTATAAAATACATAAGTTGAAAATGATATAAAAACAAAAAAGAAACAACAAGAATTATATAAACTCATTGGTCGAGTAGTATAGTTGATGGAGAATAATTTTTTTTTTGAAAAAATTATGTTTATTAATGAGATATTAATTTTATATTTTTATTTAAAATAATAATAATTACTAAAGATGTCATTATTATAAATATAGAAGAGCTCTGAAATATTTTGGAGATGCATATTTATATTAAATTTAAATAAAATAAGATGATTTACTCACAAATTAGTGAGTTGTATGTATTTTAGGTGCGTTTGGAGATGCATATTCAGACTAAATTTGAATAAAACGGGACAACTCACTCACAAATTGCTGAGTTGTGTGTATTTTAGGTGCGCCTGAACATGCATATCCGAACTAAATTTGAATAAAATGGGGTGACCCATTCTCGAATTGTTGAGTTGTGTTTATTTTAGGTGCGTATGGAATTGCATATTCAGACTACTTTTGAATAAAATGGAGTGACTCACTCACGAATTGTTGAGTTGTGTGTGTATTTTAGATGCTTCCGAAGATGCATCTTTGGAATATGGAAGGGAAAAATCAGATTTTTAGTTTGTTCACCCTCACCCTATAGGGTGGGAAAAGTAACCCTCTTGTCTTAATATAAGTTTTGTTCGAGCAGGTCGCAAGGCCCGCGAACAAATGGATGCCCAATTGTGAAACCCAATATGGAATATACCTAAAACAAGTAAGGAATAAGTGAGACTTCAGCAAGACATGGACCATGCGGTTCAAGTTACTGACTTATCTTCCACCGTTAGATCTTATCGAACGATGATTCGTGCAATGCATTGAGTTAAACAAGAGCGTTTTTAACATTCAACCCTATATAAGCATGACAAATGCCAGTTTTAGGTAAGAATTCACTTTCACTCTCATATTAGTTATATATCACTTCACTGACTTGGGTGTTGCAGTGATAACCTCGTAGGTTCATCCCCACTCCATTGTGCCTGAAGTCATTATCATCGTACCAAAATAACTTATTTTTCTAGACCCTCTATTTCTCTTTCCACAACAAAACACCGGCGCAATTATGGTAATCAAAATCTGATTACCTCGAATTTCAGCAAAAATCGTCGCCTCTTCATCGTTACTCATCTTTCGCCAATCCTTTTTTTAGGTCGAATAATCGATTTTGTAAATTTAGGGCAGCTTCTAGGCCCACTCGATTAGTTGGCCAACATAGTGTCGCACCTACAACTATCGTAGCGACCGATGTTACATATCTAAGGATGGAGTTTTCACTTCCCCTAACGGCAGAAACTGATCTTGGGAGGGAGTTTTCTCTTTCTGCTCTGAATCCTCTGTATATGGTTCTACCAATGATCAGCCAAAGCACCTTCTGGGTCCTTCCGACCTTCCAATCTTTGAAATAACTGCTTCAAGGCCAGACCTTCAATCAACCTCCAACGCAACAATAGATCCCTAGACAAGAAATTTTTAAAACCCTCCAAGAACTGCAAATTAACCTATGCAAGCAAGTAGAAAACAAACTACACAATAACATCTACAACTTAGTATAAAAATATAATTCTCATTTCTTAGCCGAAAGGCTTCTCAAGATCGAAGAAACCATATAATATGCATCTCCTAAGGATCAGTCCTAGTGTGAAACAAAGTTACAAGAAAAATTTGAGACTGTGTCGCAATCATTCCTTAAACACATCGCCTCCCCATGTCGACCTGCTCCAAGATCACCAAGACGCTCCCAACATTTAGAGCATTGATCATTTCCATGGGAATACGAGTTAACATATGGTAGCCACACTCCTTTAGAAACATGTCTTCCCATCCAATTACCATCACACCATCCTCGTAGATAAGGTAGACATGAAGTCTAGTTATAAGTTCCTAATCGAAGAAGTAATCTGTTATCCAGATGCATCCTCAATAGCCGGATCTCAAAATCTCTCTAACCCCCATAAAACTAGACAGCTATAATGGAACTAGAAACTTAGACGAGCACATCAAACACATGGACACCTTGCTTAACTATCATCATGCATAATGTGCGGTAAAATGTCAACTTTCCGTTCTTACTCTAAAAGGAGCCACCATGACCTGGTTCAAGAGTTTGCTTGATGGCTACATAAATTTCGAGAAAGAGTTATGTGATTTTTTCACCATTCAATACATTACCCATAAACGCAAACCCACAACGATAGCCATTCTCAAAGTTACCCACCAAAAGAGGAGAGAAACTATGTGGTTCACCAAAGTAGTTATGCATGTGGGAGGAATGAATAATGGACTGAAGTGTTGAATGTTCAAAAAGGAACTTAGATAATAATGTATGTTATGTGAAAAGTTTGAAACCTTATTTTTCCAGTTACTTCTATGTGACATGCCTCTAATACGGACAACAGTTTTTTATGATGATAACTAATGTCTAAATGATAGGTCAGGCATAAGCAGTTAAGCGGTCAAAGATGCAAACCAGATTATTAGGGTTTGATGGACTTAACTCTACCAATGATGGGAACCAGAGTATTAGGTTTTGATGGACTTGAATCTATCAATGATGGAAACCAAATGGGTTATAACTCAAGTATCTTCTCAAAATAAAAATCAAGTAAGTGTCTATAAGGATGAAGCACCTGACAGGACTTGAAGTATATGAAAGCCTGTCTTGACACCCCTGAGTGAATACATTGTAAAGCATAAGGAAATTCTCGTAAAAGTGCATGGTTAAGCCACACACACATACTTATTTTCATACTTATTTTTATCAAGAAAATATTTTGAAAAAATGTCTTGAAGTCGTTCCAAACCAGTTAAGAATTGTCAAAAAAAGATATGAGCAATTTTTTTCTCTTGCCATTTGATTGACACCTTGTGGCAATCGATTGGAGAAGTTCAAAAATATGCCATAATCAATTAGGACAGTGCCTAAAAGAATGTAATAATTGAATATCTTTTGTTTCTTTTTTGAGCCCAATAATCGATTAATTTGAAGCCAACCAATAGATTAATGTATGTTGCCAAACGATTGGTGAGTCATAATTGGCCTTAAAAAAATTGTAAGTTCACCAAGGAAGTTTTATTGATACCTTGGTTGAATATTTTATCCATTTAAAGATTGTTTGCTTGAATTCTAAGTTAAATTAGTAAAAAGCTTTAGTTTGGGGATTGTGTGGTCAAACCTCTATTTAGGTTTGAAAGTTTAGCATGTTAAAAAGCTTTCGAGGTTCGAGATCAG